ATACCTGTAATGCACCTTTATAGTCACCCAGTTACGTTGTGATGTTTGATACACCCAAGGCACTCTTACGGTATCCGGGAGTTACACGATCTCATGGTTGAAGGAAGAGATACTTGACACTTGCAAAGCTCTAGCAAAACGAACTACACGATCTTTTATGCTATGCTTAGGATTGGGTCTTGTCCATCACATCATTCTCCTAATGATGTGATCCCGTTATCAACGACATCCAATGTCCATAGTCGGGAAACCATGACTATCTGTTGATCACAACGAGCTGGTCAACTAGAGGCTTACCAGGGACATAGTGTGGTCTAAGTATTCACACGTGTATTACGATTTCCGGATAATACAATTATAGCATGAATACAAGACAATTATCATGAACAATGAAATATAATAATACTTTTATTATTGCCTCTAGGGCATATTTCCAACATCTGTGACCGATGCTTCCCGCACTGAGCAACTGCCCTCTACACAGTCAGGTACATCCCCATGGGTTCTGGACTCTGGAGCTTCTTTTCATATGTCTTCTCATTCTTCCACTTTGTCCTCTCTTCGATTGCTGGATTCTCCTGCTCATGTCTTCACTGCTGATGGTACTCCACTTTCTGTTGCTAGTAGGGGCAATCTTACCACTCCTTCTTATTCTGTTCCTGATGTTGCTCATGTCCCTCGACTTACCATGAATCTGTTTTCTGCTGGTCAACTTACCGATTCTGGTTGTCGCGTCATCCTTGACGTTGACTCTTGTTCTGTCCAGGACCGTCACACGCACACTCTGGTTGGGGCTGGCCCTCGCCGCCGTGATTCTCAGGGTCTTTGGGAGTTGGACTAGCTTCATGTTCCTTCCGCTGCCACCACCATTGCTAGTTCCTCTGCTTCAGTCGCCTCCGTTACTGGTTCCTTCAAGCAGTGGCATCATCAACTTGGTCATCTGTGTGGTTCTCGGTTGTCGTCTTTAGTTCGTCGAGGTCTTCTGGGGTCTGTCTCAGGAGATGTCTCTTTAGAGTGTCAGGGTTGTCGTCTTGGCAAGCAGATTCAGTTACCATATTCACATAGTGAGTCAGTGTCTAAGCGTCCTTTCGATTTAGTACATTCTGATGTATGGGGTCCGGCTCCTTTCGCTTCGAAAGGTGGTCATAAATACTATATTATTTTCATAGATGATTTCTCTCGTTACACATGGCTTTATTTCATGACTTCTCGTAGTGAGGTGTTGTCTATTTATAAGCGTTTTGCTGCCATGGTTCATACTTAGTTCTCTTCACCCATTCGTGTTTTTCGTGCTGACTCCGCTGGCGAGTATATCTCTAAGATGTTGCGTGGTGTTCTTGCTGAGCAAGGAACTCTCTCTCAATTCTCTTGTCCTGGTGCTCATGCTCAGAATGGTGTGGCTGAGCGAAAGCATCGACATCTTCTTGAGACGGCTCGTGCATTGATGATTGCTGCCTCTCTCCCGCCTCATTTTTGGGCTGAGGCCGTCTCCACCTCCACCTATCTTATCAATATACAGCCTTCCGCTGCTCTACGGGGTGGTGTTCCTTTCGAGCGTCTTTTTGATCGTTCTCTCGATTATTCGATGCTTCGCTTGTTTGGTTGTGTTTGTTATGTTCTTCTTGCCCCTCGCGAACGCACCAAATTGACTGCTCAGTCTGTTGAGTGTGTCTTCTTAGGCTACAGTGATGAGCATAAGGGCTATCGTTGTTGGGATCCTATCGGTCGTCGGATGTGTATCTCTCGAGATGTGACTTTTGATGAGTCTCGTCCCTTCTACCCACGCCCATCTTCCTTGATTTTTTCAGTGGAGGATATCTCTTTCCTCACTTTTCCTGACTCACCTATCACCCCCGTCGCGCCTATGCCTATTCGTTCCACTCCCTCTGCTTTTCCACCTCTAGTCGATTTGCAGCCACCATCTTCTCCGGTCTCCTCGCCTAGCATGTCACCGGATTACACACCTTCATCTCCGGTGACTTCTTCGTCTCCACCCCCCGATTCTACCTTGGCGATTCCTCCTTCTATTGTTCCATCTTTTCCTCAGCATTACACTCGTCGTTCACGACCTGTGGATGCCTTATTGGATGAGTCGTCATCTTCCTCTCAGTCTACTTATGGCTTGCGTTCTCGTCCTCGTCCGCCTGTTGATCGTTTTGGATTTCCCACTGCTGGCGCTGCTGTTCTTGAGCCGACTTCTTATCGTCAGGCTGTTGTTCATCCTGAATGGCAGTTTGCGATGGTAGAGGAGATTGCTGCTCTTGAACGCACCGGTACCTGGGATCTTGTTTCTCTTCCTCCCGGAGTCCGTCCCATCACTTGTCAGTGGGTCTACAAGGTTAAGACTCGCTCCGATGGTTCTCTTGAGCGCCACAAAGCTCGTCTTGTGGCTCGTGGTTTTCAGCAGGAGCATGGTCGTGATTATGACAAGACTTTTGCTCCTGTGGCCCATATGACCACTGTTCGTACATTTCTTGCCGTTGCCTCTGCACGCCACTGGTCTATATCTCAACTTGATGTTAAGAATGCTTTTCTTAATGGTGAGCTACGTGAGGAGGTGTACATGCAGCCACCACCTGGGTATTCTGTTCCTGATGGCATGGTATGTCGTCTTCGTCGCTCTCTCTATGGCCTTAAGCAAGCCCCCTGTGCCTGGTTTGAGCGTTTTGCCTCTGTGGTCACTACTGCTGGTTTTTCAGCCAGTGCTCATGATCCAGCATTGTTTATTCACCTTTCTCCTCGTGGTCGGACTCTTCTTCTTCTCTATGTTGATGACATGATCATCACAGGGGATGACCCCGAGTATATTGCCTTTGTAAAGGCACGTCTTAGTGAGCAGTTTCTTATGTCTGATCTTTGACCTCTTCGCTACTTTCTTGGGATTGAAGTCTCTTCTACCTCTGATGGCTTTTTTATATCCCAGGAAAAGTATATCCAGGATCTTCTTGCTCGTGCTGCTCTTACTGACGAGCGCACTGTTGGGACTCCTATGGAGCTCAATATTCACCTCCGTGCTACTGATGGTGATCCTCTCCCTGACCCGACGTGTTATCATCATCTTGTTGGCAGTCTTTTCTATCTAGCTGTCACTCGTCCGGACATCTCTTATCCGGTTCATATTCTGAGTCAGTTTGTCTCTGCTCCCACATCGGTTCACTATAGTCATCTCCTTCATGTTCTCCGATATCTTCGGGGCACGATCTCCCACCGTCTATTCTTTCCTAACTCCAGTTCTTTACAGCTTCAGGCCTATTCGGATGCTACGTGGGCTAGTGATCCTTCCGATCGCCGTTCACTTTCTGCTTACTGTGTTTTTCTTGGCGGTTCTCTCATTGCCTGGAAGACGAAGAAACAGATTGCAGTTTCCCGTTCGAGTGCTGAGGCTGAGTAGCGAGCCATGGCTCTTTTGACGGCAGAGGTGACTTGGTTACGGTGGTTACTTCAGGATTTTGGTGTTTCTGTCACTACACCGACTCTGCTCCTATCTGACAGTACAGGTGCTATTAGCATTGTGCGCGATCCTGTGAAGCATGAGCTCACCAAGCATATTGGTGTTGATGCTTTCTATGTGCGCGCTGGTGTGCAGGATCAGGTTATTGCTCTTCAGTATGTGCCTTCCGAGTTACAGTTGGCGGATTTCCTGACGAAGGCCCAGACTAGAGCACAACATGGCTTTTATCTCTCCAAACTCAGTGTTGTTCATCCACCATGAGTTTGAGGGGGGGTGTTAGAGTTATAATATAAGTCATGTACCCCTTTGTGTTTATCCCGTTGTATAAGGGATTTCCTGCATATGTTCCACACCTGTACATGTATATATATCTGCCTATGGCCTCATGGGAATACAAGTTGCATATTTCCTAACAAACTTAAAATCAAATGATAGGCTGGGCCCTTCCTTGAGAATAAGACAGGTAGATGCTTGCAACCATAATATTTTTGCGATATAAACATAGTCAGCAACTACACATGTGGTGTTGTCATCTTGCAAAAACTTGATCTACCAATCTACCAAATTAAGAAAAGATATCATGGGGGCAGAGAATAGACTAGATGGCTTTGCGTTCAAGCTAATGATCCAGCTACGGCAAGTAAAAAAAACAAGTAGACGCGCATGTGAGCTGCTTCTGTTTCGCTTTACGGCTATTCACACGGCAAAACTGCTTCATCTGATCCAGCTACAGCCTATCATAATTTGAAGACACATGCATCAGTGAACACACATAGTAGTATAACAGTGGGATTAGTAAAGCTACGGACTATCATAATTGAAATCCTTTTTAATATAATACTTGCAAATCACAAACTTGCAGACATCTAGAACTGACCTGAGGATGTAAAGTGAAGCTACGGCCTATCATAATTGAAATCCTTTTGACTATAATACTTGCAGATCACAAACTTGCAGACATCTAGAACTGCCTTGAGTATGTAATTGATATCAGTTTGGAAGGGTACAAATCTTTTTTGAAGATAGGTTGGAAGAGATGGCGTCCAAGGATGGCGCCTATCGAGGGCACAACACAGAGCAGGGTGGCAGCACTGGGCACAGCGTGGAGCAGGACGCAGGGCAGTGACAGGCGTCGGCACCTTGTTCTGCAGGGGCATCGTGATCACCATTGCAGGATGTGGAGGGCGCGACGCCGAACACAGCAGGACTCTTGTGGTCTGAGTCAGTGACGGCGTGACAGGCGCCAGCAGGTCTCGATCTCGACGCCCTGCTCCACCCCCCTAAGCTTGCGGCCGCCGGGCGACGAGTCCTTCTGCTGCTGGCCATCAACACAGATGTCAGCGGGCCGCTGAGTTCGACGAGCTAGCGCACACCATCATGCCGGTGCTCACGCCCTATGCTCCATACCTCAACCAGCGGGCGTAGTTGCTCGAGTCCGTCCGCACCTTCGACCGCAGTGACAATGTCGACATCTCCACTACCAAGACCGTGTGCTACATGGCGAGGCTGGGCCAGCTGCTCACCTTCGAGGAGCTCATGATGTGGGACACTAAATTGGGACGGGTTGGCGGATTCCTTGGCGGCCAGCCGGACGCAGGGCGTCGTCAGCGACAGTGACAAGCGCCAGCGACGTAGGAGTCCTGCGGCCTGCTGGAGTTTTTGGCACTGTAATCAACAGAAGATGTTGCCTGGTACTGTAAGCTACGCCATGAGCATCCTGCAACAACAACAACAAAAACAGAAAACACCTATGACATCAGCAGATGTGTAAGCTTCTTGGGGCAATACCGGAAGGTTTCTCAGCCTGGATGCACAGAATTGTACAACAAAAAATTAGAACTTATGATCATTTAACTAATTTCACCATAAAGACAATACTGATGGCCTACTCAACTTGGTCTCTCTATACAGGAAAGAGACTATAAACATAGGAGAACTAAATTAGACCAAGAAAGTAAAAGGTTTTAGTTACCATTCTATAAAAAAAAACATGTTATAATTCCCTAGGCCTTTAGCACCCAGATGATGGTGATCATCTCTTGCTCCCAGGTCGCCCTGGTGTGGCCGTACTTTCCTTCTTCATCTTGTTCTGTCTCCAATTAGTTGAGCCACCTCATCTCCCAAATATTGGCTAATCTACAATAGGCACAACAAATCATTACCACATCAGCAGGCGGAAGAAAATCCATACCACATGTACAGCAGCAAGAACCACGCACAACCATGCTTTCAGCCAATAACCATTGTTGCAACAATCACAAATGAAAGAATCTTGCATCATGGACTGGACAAAATAATATAACAATCTGTAGCCTCTCATAAAGCATAGCTTGGAGATGAGTTCAATTTGTGGTGCCAGCATTTCATCAAACATGTTATATGCAAGAACTCTTATTCTTCCCCTTTCATGGCATTGGTGTTTGCTCTACCGAGTAGCATCTACTTCAGAACACCCATGTGCTGCTCCCTCTCTTACAGAACCACCTTCTGCTCAATGAGGCCAACAATTGCTGCCCTAGGGAAGAGGGAACTACCCTAGCATGTGGGTGTTGCATTCTGTGGTGTAGCGAGGCAGGGGCCTTTACCTGGGCATGGGCGTAGTGAGAGGAATTTGTAGTTGATTCGGAATGTACCCAAGCGCCACAAAAAGATGCAGTCGACTGAAGGAGTAGCCGCCGTCGCCCCCGCTCCACTGCCATGGCGGGCCGGCCTGCTGCTGCTGCGCCCACTGAGCGGAGGCAGAGGGGGAGGAGGAACACGTCAACGAGCAGCAATAAATCGAAATCAAAGTGAGCCGAATTGGCAGAGGGAGGCAGGAGGATGCAGATCTCGCGGCCCGGCGGCTCACCTTGTCCTGCGTGCTGGCCTTGGCCTCGTCCTCCGCCGCCGCCGCCTCGTCGTGCTCGTCGCCCTCGGGGAAGGCGAGCGGGGTGTCCGAGCTGGCGACGCCCTCGCTCCTATCGCCATCGGACGCGGGCTTCTAGGCCGGTGGCGCCGCCGGGGCCTTCGTCGGCCGCCTTGGATCTCCTCCCGCGCGCGTCCTCCCAGTCTCCCAGCCGCTGCGGCCGCCTTGGATCTTGGCGAGCGAGCGATGGGTTTGGGTGGGGTTCTGCGGGCGATGGCGGGAGCAGGAGAGGAGGCGGAGGACTGGTTTGGTTATTTTGGTTTAATAGAGGAGTTTTATGTAAAAATGAAGCGTTTTCTGAGAACCACTACAAAAGAAACTGCGGCTTCAATTATTAAAAATTATAGAGACTTTTCTGTAAAACGGCCGCGACGGTGAGCGGGCGGGCAGAAGCGATGACCGCTTTATTATTAAAAAAAATTAATAAGGAAAGATAACGTGGTTGCTCATTTTGGCAGTTCTTTTGTAGGATGGCACATGCAGTGTTTCATTAAAAATTCTCGGTCATCGCATGTACCATATTGAGTAATTTAACTGCCCCATTTCTTGCAAAATGGCAGCAAGTAGAACTTAAATGTCAAGAATTATGCTTCGATGAGTGGTGCGGCAGGTGTCTTTACTAGCTTAATATCCGTGTGTCGCGAAGGTGGAAAGTTTATTCTTTTGGTTCAACGTAGGAAAAACTTTGATTGGGTTGAGATTGAGATATATCATGGAAATGGAATCCATAGGTAAAAGCGAGAAAAGATATGGTCTGATTGAGATTGTGTGTACAACTACTAGATTTCTTTCCCATACATGAGAAGGTGGGGCGGTTTGGAAAAAAATTATGAGGTTTATCGTGTAGTTTGAAAAAAAAATCATTGGTTGGGGCATGTATCTTTTTTTCGTGAAATTTTCCGATTTATTAATTTTCAATCATGGCAGTACAACGAATACCAAAAATAATAAAAATTAGATCCAGATCCGTAGACCACCTAGCGACGACTACATGCACTGAAGCGAGCCGAAGCCGCACCGCCGTCATCGCCCCTCTCTCGCCGAAGCCAGGTAAAACTTGTTGTAGACAGTCAGAGAGTCGTCGTGCTAAGACCTCATAGGACCAACACACCAGAATAGGAACCGTCACCGATGAAAAGTAGCATAGATCAGAAGAATCCAACCTGAAGACACACGAATAATGAACAAATCCGAGCAAATTCACCAAAGATAGATCCACCAGAGACACATATCCACACGCCCACCGACGATGCTATACGCATCACCGGGACGGGAGCTAGGCGGGGAGAACTTTATTCCATCTTAAGAGAGGCACCGTCATCTCGCCTTCCTGAGTAGGACACGAACTTTAACAAAACTTGAAGAAACATCTAAAAATGGAGCCCTCCCGTCAGCAAGGGTAGGCATCCACCGCGCCCCCATGGCCTTGAGGCCACTGAAGACGAGGCAGATTGACGGCAGCGCCGGTGGGATGCAGAGGAACCCTTGACTATTTTTTGGAGACGAGGCACATGAGGCAGCGACTACATTGGAAAGGACACATACTTGCAGGAGGGGGCATGTATCAATGAAAGGGGTGGAAGCGATGAAAGTGAAACCAACAAACTCCCATTTAATAGCAGGGATCGATTCATCTAGGTTTAATTTTTGTGTCGCTTTCGAAACCTAAGCATGAAAACATTGGTGTGGTGTTAACTTAATTAAGTTTATGCTTTGTCAATAGTATTAGAAATATACAATGTTCGGGTTTATTGGCTCTTGTGAACATGTATCCAAGGGGTTTGGAGCGCCCAATGGATCAGGTTGCCATGTCCCTTCCCTTCCTCGGAGAAGCAAACATCATGAGGAGTTACTCATGCCGCTAAAGCCAATGGAGGAGTTGCCCGGTGACCTTGCTCTCCACGGGCTTGGGATGAATGACATGCACCTCATTCCACATGGCCCTTCATGACCAATTTGGAGCAGAGGTGGGAGAGAAGAGTGCCAGGATGAGCCACCAGACTCAACATAGAGTAGGGGAGGTTGAGGAAGTAATGAGAGAGGTGATGCTGAATGGTGTTCCATCTTTCCCTTGCTACGCCATTCATTGATGTGGATAGTCGGGTAAGATGTCTATGTCGAAGACATGTCAAAGAAGGTGGTCGAGAGACACATACTACGTGAAGGGTAGTCGGGTTGGTGGCTTGCTTACTTCAAGGTTTTCATGGCCTAGTTTTGTTATTCCTGTTGTCTCCTAAGCCTAAAAATGTTCTTTTAGGGATTTCAACTTAGGTCTTCAACTAACACTGCATCTATATAGGAATATATGAAAAACTCGGAAAACAAGCATGAAAGAGTTTGATTATATAGTAGCACATTCTTCAATCGCATGGTACCATTGTGTGTAGATCTATTGACTCAAGTGAACATGTGCATACACATAATCTAAACCATAAAAGCACCATCTCGATAGTTATGGCATGTTTACTCTATCCATATGTAGTTGTAGCATGATGCCTACCACACGTGTATAATACATGAAATGTACTACAAAACAGGAGAAATAAGAACCCTCTCCCCCTCTCTCTCTCTCTCACACACACACACCTATCTCTCTTCTACAAGAGGAATTAATGGTCAGTTTGGTTGGCATCCACACCATTATATGCCTGGCCTGGATGCTGCCTGCAGTCAGCCTGGTAGTTGTTTGGTTTGCGTCCTGGAAAGGAAAGTGTCTGCCTGGCCTGGTTGCCTCATGCCTGTGATTAGCCTGGTGAAGATTAAAAAACTCAAAGGAAATAAGATGCTTAGCCCAGGCATGGTGATCAGTCTGGCCCAGGCGTATGATTCATTCCGCCTGGGCTTGCTGCAAAATAGCCTGGCACTAATTAGTCCCAACGAAGGTATGGTATGCCCCTTGAAAAAATATTCTAATCACTATAAGACAAAGTACCAGGCACAGGGTGGAAAACCAAACACTTCGCTGTGAGGCTAGCCTGCACAGGCAAGAAACTCCAACTTTTCAGGCCAAAGCCAGGCACCAAAAATTCTTAGGCATGGAGCCCAGGGTGCCAACCAAACTGATCGGAGGAATACCTTGTGTGCTATCAAACATCACAACGTAACTGGGTGATTATAAAGATGCTCTATAGGTATCTCCGAAGGTGTTTGTTGGGTTGGCATAGATCGAGATTAGGATTTGTCACTCCGTGTATCAGAGAGGTATCTCTAGGCCCTCTCGGTAATGCACATCATAAGAAGCCTTGCAAGCAATGTGACTAATGAGTTAGTTGCGAGATGATTCATTACTGAACGAGTAAAGAGACTTGCCGGTAACGAGATTGAACTAGGTATGAGGATACTGACGATCGAATCTTGGGCAAGTAACATACCGATGACAAAGGGAATAACATATGTTGTCATTACGATACGACAGATAAAGATCTTCATAGAATATGTAGGAGCCAATATGAGCATCCAGGTTCCGCTGTTGGTTATTGACTGGAGAGGTGTCTCGGTCATGTCTACATAATTCTCGAACCCGTAGGGTCCGCACGCTTAACGTTCGATGACGATTTTGTATTATATGAGTTATGTGATTTGGTGACCTAATGTTGTTCAGAGTCTTGGATGAGATCACGGACATGGCGAGGAGTCTCGAAATGGTCGAGAGGTAAAGATTCATATATAGGACGATAATATTCGGACACCGGAAGTGTTTCGAGGTGTACCGGGTACATATCGGAGTACCGGGGGGGGGTTACCGGACCCCCCCGGGGGAATAATGGCCCCTGTGGGCTATAGGAGGGGAGCACACCAGCCGACAAGGGGCGGCGCGCCCCCCTAAGGAAGGAGGCCAAATAGGAGAAGGAGGAGGGGGTTCGGCCCCCCTTTCCTTCCTCCCCCATCCCTTCCCTTTTCCTCCTTCCGGTAATAAGGAAAGGGGGGGGGGGAATTGGACTAGGGGCCCAACTAGGATTCCTCCTACTTGGGGCGCCTCAAGGCAGCTCCCCTCCCCCTCCCACCTATATATACATGGGGAGGGGGCGCCTAGAAGAGACACCAACAATTGTTATCCATGTGCGGCGCCCCCCTCCACTGTTTACGCCATGGTCATATCTTTGTAGTGCTTAGGCGAAGCCCTGTGCGAATCACTTCACCATCATCGTCACCACGCCATCGTGCTGACGGAACTCTCCCTCGACACTTTGCTGGATCAAGACTTCGAGGGACATCATCGATCTGAACGTGTGTAGAACTCGGAGGTGCCGTACGTTCGGTGCTTGATCGGTCAAAACGAGAAGAAGTTCGACTACATCAACCGCGTTGTCAAAAGCTTCCGCTTTCGGTCTATGAGGGTACGTAGACACACTCTCCCCCTCTCGTTGCTATGCATCTCCTAGATAGATCTTGCGTGAGCGTAGGATTTTTTTTGAAACTGCATGCTACGTTTCCCAATAGTGGCATCCGAGCCAGGTCTATGCATAGATGATATGCACGAGTAGAACACAAAGAGTTGTGGGCGGTGATAGTCATACTGCTTACCACCAACGTCTTCTTTTGATTTAGCGGTATTGATGGATGAAGCGGCCTGGACCAACCTTACATGACCATGTTCATGAGACTGGTTCCACCGACAGACATGCAACTAGTTTTGCATAAAGGTGGCTGGCGGATGTCTGTTTCTCCAACTTTAGTTGAATCGAATTTGACTGCGGCCGGTCCTTATTGAAGGTTAAAACAGCAAACTTGACAAAACACCGTTGTGGTTTTGATGCGTAGGTAAGAATGGTTCTTGCTAGAAGCCCATAGCAG